CATCTCACATTATCTCACCTCACAGATGTACTGGATACAAAGTAGCAATCATTTTCAGGGAGGTAGCCAAACCTGGAAAACTGAAAATCCTCAGCACACCATACAAGGTGTGGTTTACAAAAATAATCGGAAAGAAGATGCCAAGAAACGAGCAGAAAGCAGAAAGTATATATATATACTGATCTTTTCTAACCTCCAGGTAGCAAGTCCGCTCGTTTGAATTCAGAGGGTTCGAGAGCTTACTCCTCTCTTAAAGAGTTTCCACTCGCTTCCACATTAGAGTTATCACTGAGACCTGTTCAAGCCGTCGTGCCATGAGCGTTGCAAGTTTCGCCTTCGTATTCACAGAACATAAAGTTTCCCATTTGATTCTGTGGTACTGCATATCTCACATCGTAGCGGGCCAACAATATGGTGATGATCAGTTGACAGCTCTGCTCCCCGCTTAACGCGAACATCCATTACCGAGCGTCTTAAGTCAGACGATGCGATTGTCGAACCGGTCATCGACTTCTGTGCACAAGCTTCCCGGTACCAGGTGTACTGATGCACTCTTCGATGTTCGAAGAAGGTGCTCAAAATGGACAATCCGCTGTTTGCACAAAACCGCTGCTACTTCATAACGTTATTGTTGAGGTCAGTAGGTCTGTTCTATCAAATCGCGCTTTCCTCCTTTCACTGTCTACTCTGAGAGGCGCATTGAGATTATCCATTAGAATGAGAGACCATGTAGCCGACAACTTGTACAGAGCGCTCTCCGCTTCCTCAAGAAACGACTCATACCTTCCTCGAAATTGAGCGCATAGACCTGTACTAAGGTCAGTGTTTAGCCTGTTGTAGCCTCAGTCAGAGGTTTACTAACGTTTCGCTGACAGGCTTCCAACTGATGATTCTCTGTGCGAGGTTGCGTTCTACCAGAACACCAACACCGGCCTGAGCACGCCTCGTGATATTGACACCTGAGTAGAATAACTTCCACCCGCAGAGGTTCAGGATTCCAGAGCCTTGGCGCTTTGTTGACGAGAGTCCAACAATATCGAGTTGGTATTTTATGGCCTCATCAGCCAACTCTTGTTCTTTCCCTCTAAGTGAGGATATGTTTCAATTTCCGACTGTAAGTTATCGCAGAGCTTTTTGTGACGTTGAATAGTGGCATCGCGCTGTCTGCCTCCTGCGTTCAGAACGGGTAGTGACTCCTTTGCTGAGTGGCATCTTCATCGTCGTTCCCTCGATCTTCTTCAGCCCTTGACGTGCTGCTACGCCCCAGGGAAGGCGATGATCAGGTTCTGGTCGCTGACTATTCGCGTTCCCCAATAGGCTACACGGCCTTTGGTAATTAGGTTCGAAGACCGTAATACCATGAGGATCAGGTAGCTCAGTTTTTTGGACATAAAATATCTCGTTTGTAGTTGTATAAACGAACAGGAATTCCGTTGTATGCGGTCATGAGAGCTACCGCTAACTCAAACGTGCTAGAGAAAGGACGAAAATTCTCAGGCGTCATTTGTCTGGATGATTTAGAACTAATGATACCTCTTGATGCCTACCGTACCGCGCTGATAGATTGCATGCAATAGATGCTTTTCAATCTTCCCCATCCTGGTGCCGCCTTTGTACTAGCCGCATCAGTCGTAAGACATCAATGTCAATATTTGATTTATATGCTAAGAGGATAGAAAGGACGAAACAATGAGCATAAAGGTTAATGGCAGTTATTCAAAATTGTATCTTCAACTTTCATGTCCCACTTCTCCAATAGCCAATGCCGGAATCGCACCCCATTCTTCAATAACATGAGCTTATTTTCCTCCAGTGTTATCGCTAAGATATTCTTGCTTATTATTGCTCTTATTCACGTGCTCAGACGACAAGCTTACCTGACTGTATGAGTCAAATTAACGGACGTATGAAGAGGCCAGATCACACTAATAAAATGTTAGTAGGTAAAAGAGTGTTTTCTGGAGACTGACCTTGCATTTTGAATAACAGCTGCCAATTCGTCGTCTGCAGTCAGATAATCGCAGTGCGTTTCTGTAATTTCGGGTACCTGAGGCCACCGAAACACAAATCAACAGTCTTCGACGCTGCTCAACTCTCGTAGGCAGCACTTACAATTTCGTATGATCGAACTAAGCAATAGACAGTCCGAAGAATTGTCAGTTTCTTTCAATGGAACAGGTGGAATGATGGTCATCAATCTCCCTGGTAAAGTAGCGAAGTTGGTGGGTAGGTGCCAAGTTCCCTTGGTAAGGTAGGTGATTATATCCTTCAAGCAGGTTTTTCACGGAAGCTGTCATTCTCCCGGACAGACATGTTATAAACTCACGGAGAAATGTTAGCTTCTGTGCTATGTCTTAGCGATATATTGCACATATGGAAAGCGATGCAAGAATGAGTGAATGGCTTTAAACCTCAGTTCAACGTTCTGGCACAATACAATGTAACATTAATACCATCTTGAAGGACAGATGTGCGTCATGTAGTTTGCAATTTACACCTGTCAGATTTCTGACTTCATCCAACTTTAAACCAAGTTAAGGAACGAACAGTATTAATGGCACATTTGGTGTTCTCGTGTCAAAATATGAGCTTGAGTAATAGCCCTAACTACTATTGTCTCTGTGACTATTCAGTAACTAATACTGATTGTAAATACTCAGTCGTGACTGTGTTGCCGATGTTGGTAACGAAACGTGTCGACAGTTAGTAAAACTCGTCTGTTCTGTTTTACGTTTGGGTTTCCAAATCATCACTAGTAAATATAGTTCCGAGGTACTCGAGTTCAAGTACCTCGGAACTATATTAACTATATTTACTAGTGATGGAAAGTTGGAGGAAGAGATCGACCGGCGAATTGGTGTAGCCAGTGGCGT